CAATTCCATGGCATCTCTGTGTCCAACCTTGCTTAGGATCTCCACCACCACCAGGTCCACCATGTCCGGAAGGCGTTCAAACGGAGGAGGAGAATCCATTACGATGATGGTATAAAAGGATGAGATAATGAGTCTGCCCCACAGCTGGTCCAAAAGATTAATGGATTGTGTTCACAGCGTTTGTTCGCCTATTCCCTACGCTATCCGACGCTAACCTGCACGTGAACTGAGATAGACGAAGAGAAAAACTCATGTCCAATGCAAGCCTGCAGTGTGCTTCCCGTCGATGTTACACAACGGAGCAGCTACCACGTTGTAGTCCTCCCTTCCCTTCAATTCACAGTGCAGCAAGCACAAACGACAAACCTGCTGCCACTGACGAAAAAAGCGGCCGTAACAACAAACTCTGATACAGGTGCGATATCCATTCAGCGACTGGAACAACAGAACAGAACATTATTACTACATCCTACGGTCCCACCTTCTCAAAGCTCAAGAAGATGAATGCTCAATGGAGCTCTTACAGATGGACCAGACACTTGCCATCAGGTATCGCTCGCTGCAACCCCTCTGCCACCCCTCCTCCCTGCCCCAACGACTTCACTCCTCAAACCCACCCCCACCCCTCAAACCGGCCCATCCTACTCTGCTACTCTGCTTTTTAATACTACAAAGTGTGATTTATTACATCGAAACACCTAAGACAAGCACGCAATCACTCAAAGAGTCAGCTTGCACTAGAATAGATGCAATAAGCACAAATGCATGATTGGTAACACAGAGGTCACTGCACTACATTGACGATAGCCAACTCCTCCTCCGAAAAAGCTGGAAGTATCTGGCCAGTTAAACAACCAGGCTCGACGATTCACTTACCTTGTGTGTTTGTGTTCAGCAAACAATGCGAGAGCCACTGGAAGTACATACATCCAGTGGTACACACAGTTACATGATCCTGTACACCTGGTGTACTGCCACAGGAGCAAACTCCTTCCCTGCGAAGCAGAATGAAAATCAATCCATGAATATACAAGGCAACCTGAAAACAGATGGCAACAGGGTACATAATACTCGAAAGAAAAGCTTGACCAAAAACTAAAACCAAACAAAGATTTCAAATCTTGACCAGTGGATCCAGTGCTGTTAGGTGAGAGCCCTGCAATTAACCCAGTTCATGTCCCCGGCATCACAGCATGCATTTCCTCGTCACACACACACACACACACACACACACACACACACACACACAATCAGTTGTTTGTTTGTCTGTTTTCTTGTTGTTGTCTGTTCTCCCCCTAATCTTTTCTAAGTGTTTTTGTTATCCAAACTGAGCACCCTTAAGTAGTGCCAAACAGTCGGTGGTTCCTCGTTTGGAGTGCCTACTGCACTCTTAGGGGGGCCGCTCAGTTCGGGTTGTCTGTGTTGCCTGTAGGTGATGACGGATGCTCGTCGGAGTAACTCCCTGGCTCAGTGGGTGGTGGGAACCAACATTCTGTAGGGATCAACCGTGATGTGAGTAGGTCATGCGCTGCGTTGCTCCGTGTTGGATGTGTGGACTGCCTTGTCTGCGCACCACCGCCGCCTTGCTGCCTGTCCCGCTTGCTTTGCATGTTGCTCTCTGCAAGTTGCTGTGTTCACTGTGTAGTGTGGCTGTGTTGTCGGTGTTGCCTTGCGCTTCGCTGCCTTGCTGCCTACTCGCTGGCCGTGCCTTCCGTTTTTCCGCACTGCGCGCCATGTCTTCTTTGCAGTCGTTTTTGGCGTTGTGCAGTCGTGTTACCTCTACTGTGCTGCCTGGTGCTCCACAGGGTCGCCGCCCGCTGCTGTGTTCCACTTGGAGACAGTCTGCCTTCAACAAGGGTCAAAGGGTTCATGACCCAAACCATCTAATACGGAGATTCCCACAGATTGTCGAGGGTTCAGCCTCCTGATGAGTCGGTGCAATTCCGAGGCAACAATCTTGTCATCTTCTATTTTATTTTTTGCAGTTGATGTCTGTTTTATACTTGGATTTTTTTGTGCTGTTTTTGCATGGTCGTTGTTTGGCTGGCTGTTGTTTCCCTTGCTGCTTTATGCTGTTTGCTTGCCCATTCACCCACCCTGTGCCTTTCACCCAGTGTGCTTTGTTGTCTGTGCTGTTTACCTCGTGTCGTTTGTTTGCCCNTGCCCTCCATCCTGTGTCCCTTGCTGCGGCTTGTCATTCTATGCCTTACTGGTTGTGTCTTGTATGCGCTCAATCTTTCGGGCTTGGGATTGTATGTTTTTTCTGTCTTCCGTATGCCTAGTGGACTTGCAGTGCTACTTTAAGGGTTGTCTATTGACTTGACTCACTCAGATGTGTTTCCTCTTGAGATCTATTGTATAGGATGAACAATGTGATGGGGTCCTTTTGGAGGTTATCCTGTGATGTGACAATGGTTTGGAGTACATATGCGTTATGTACTGAGGCGCCCTCAATATGTGTTCACACACATCGACACACACACACACACACACACACACA